ATTCCCCTCCCCAGTTTCAATCTATTACTCCTTGTTGTTGCCCATCAACAACAGTATAGGGGCTATGACACACAGTTGAACAGTTCTGATTCCATACAGTAGAAAACAGTAATACACACACTAGCCTGTTCATAACAGTAGTTATGTTGTGGGCAGCAGTCTCCATTATGCTATGCCTATCTTCATCTGGTGAATGTCTCCAGCCCAGTCAGCCTTTCCATCGGTTTCCTTCCCATCTATCTAAATAGTCTGATTGTTATGTTAGTGGGCCCCAGCCACCTAAACACCATAAAAAAAACTAGGCACAAATGTGCAGTATGCTTTTTATAGTTATTTCTTGCTTCTGCTGTGCCCATATACTGGGTGTAGAGTGGGCAGGGTATGACACGTTCATATTCCACTAATATTGCAACCTGCAAATCCCTGACATGCAAGCTGAGGTCCGTTATCTGAAACTACACTTTCTGGGCTTCCAGCCATTTATGCTTTGAAACATTCAATGTTAGAGGCTGCTATTGATACAAGTATGGGAACTTGGGGCCTAGACAGAGTGTGAGCCACATTAAAATTATGTGATATAATAGATCTATGATATATGGAAATAGATCTATTTCCCAGTAACTACAATATTAGTCACTGTGACAAGGCTGACTGTTCATTGTGCAAAGGAGGATTAAAAATAGCTTGTGGGGATGCCATGGTCTAGCACTCAGGAGCATTGGAATCAATTCCTAGCTTTACAACAGACTTCCTCTGTGACCCCAGGCAAACCACTTAATCTCTATTGGCCTCAGGTCCACTTCAGCAAAACAGATATAATTATAATTCCTTTCCCTTGTCCATTTAGGTTGCAAGCTGTTCAGGGCAAGTTTCTTACTATGTGTGTATACAGTTGTTATTACGATGTGGTTCTGATCTCAGCTGGGGGCTCTAGGAGCTACTGTAATGCTATCAATAATCCATGTCTAGCTTGCTCCAAGGTCTATGAGATATGTCAGGAATGGTTCCTTGTGTTGGTTGGTGTAATGTCCTGGGGAAGGTTCCACTTCAGCTTCCCAGAAAAAAAAAAAAAAAACTTGGGAACAAATAAAGGAGTAGCTGCCTCAGAGAATCTATCCCAGATCTTACATTGCAGATCCGGCACTCATTTATGAAGTCTTTGGCTTTGCTGCTCTTGCTAGGCAAATACAGCACTTCTCAGGCCCTTGCATGGTAGGCAGGCTTCAGGAGCTGTGTGGCCAAAGTGCACAGGGTTTAGCATTTCAGGACACACAGCTTTAAGAATTATGATTCGATTGCCTTTACAAATGTAAGGGGGGCTGTTACCCCCTTACTAACATTCAGTGGGGGTGTTTTGGTTGGCTAGCTCCCAGTACTAAAAGGGGGAAGGGTCGATGGGGAATCAGGACCCTGAGACTGACAGCCCCCAGGTACACTGGGGAGAGGCCAATGCTCTAGGTCAGCCTGAATGACAGGGCAAGCAGGCTAATCAGAGAGTCAGGAGGCCAGGGAGGTCCCATCCTCTGTGTGAGCTGGATTTGCCTGGGTCAGACAGGGTGGGGCCGAGCTACGGAGAATGCAGGGGCCCAAACTGAGCTGTCCCAGATCCAGAGAGAGCAGACCCTGTCCTGGGAGCAGAGCTGCAGCCCCAAAGCCAGAGGCACAGCCCAGAGAGAGCAGACTTGCCCTGGGAGCAGAGCTGCAGCAACCAGAGCCAGAGGGGCCAAAGCAGCCGCCCAGGGAGCTGGAGGCAGCAGCAGCGCTGAGACTGAGTGGTGCGGCTGGGGCTGGAGCAGTCCGGAGCTGGGTGCAGTGAGCAGCTGGGGAGAGCGAGGGGGACCCCGGGCAGCAGGCCCAGCACAGGGAGACGCCTCAGCCAAGAGGCTCTGCAGGCCATGCTTGGATCATAACCCTGACAGGGCGGGGGCGACACTGGGAAGAAGGGTCCTATCACTTAGAGCCTGAGAGCGTGTGGCCACCACCAGAGCAAGTGTCCAACCCACAGCATCCTTGCAGCACAACCAGGGCCTGAGAAGAAGGCCTGGGACTTACAAGGAACAGACTGTGAACTGCCTTGACATTCCAGAGACACTGTTTGTGATGTTCCTTGCCACAGAGCAGGTTGATGTGTTTCCTTTCACCTTTCCCATTTTTCCTTATTCTTTTTAAAGAAAATTGTTGATTAAATAACTTGCATTTGCTTTAACTTGTGTGTAATGGTCAGAGAGGTGCTCAGAGCAGAGAGAGTACCTTGGAGTGGGGATACCCTAGCCCCTGTCCTAGGTGACCACAGCAGGGTTGGGGGTCAAGCCCCCCAGGAATCCTGGGCCCAGCCTTGTTGGGGTTACGAGGACTCTGCCAGACAGGAGAGTGGAAGGGGAGCCCTCAAGGGCAGGGAGGCCACTGGGTAAAGGAAGTGGGAGCGAGGACTCAGATCCTTTCGCTAGCCCACTTCACCGGGGTAGTGCAGAAGCCAGGAAAGTTCCCCACAAGAGCAGGACTATTCCCCCGCTTACATAGAGAACTATTTTGCACAATCAGCTCTTCTCTCAATGTCCACTATTCATGAAAGTCCAGTGGTACTGTGTAGCAAGTTTAGCCAGGGCTCATCTTTCTCTGGGGCAGCAGGGAACCACACTGCCTCACTAAATTGGGGAATAAATAGGTCTTGCGGGGAATTAGTCTAGCTGCAGGAGTCATCCTCTGTGGCCTTTGAGAAGGTAGAAATAACACAGTAAGCCCAGGCCCTAGGTCAGGGCAGGGCAATGGTGAGTCAGGCGCACAGACAGGGGCTGAGCTGTAACAGTAGGTTCCAAAGGGCCTGGCAGAGGGGGAGGCTGCCACCTGTGGGTTGGGTGGCAGGGGGACGCAGGCCCTCCCACTCCACTGCGTCCCAGCCCGGGGCCCTAGGAGTAGCAGAAGACCTGCTGCGGAGTCAGTGGGGATACTGGTCGCAACACACTGACATGGGCTCTGGGAGTGCTGCAGCCAGATTAGGGTCAGCTGCCGCCAGGCTACTTTCAGACTCCCCCTCTTGAGGTACCTGGGTCAGGGTGGTGTCCTCAGAGGGGTCCAGCACCATGGGGTCCTCGGGATAGCTGGCACGGGGCAGGCTCAGCACTTCCTCTGGGTAGCTGGCACAGGGCAGGCTGGGCCCAGTCCTCGGGTTTTCCACAGGCCACTGGGGTTTCCCAATCATGAGCTAGGCTGGAGGCATCTGGCCTCCCCAGTGGCTGCTCTCCCAGTGAGCCCTGAGGTTGGGCCTTTATACTTCTGGGGCAATGCCTGACCCTCTGGGGGGCGGGCTTAGAGCTCCCTGGCTCCGCCCATGCTGGTGTCCAGAGGGATTGTTTAGTCTGCGGAAGAGAAGAATGAGGGGGGATTTGATAGCTGCTTTCAACTACCTGAGAGGTGGTTCCAGAGAGGATGGTTCTAGACTATTCTCAGTGGTGGAAGAGGACAGGACAAGGAGTAATGGTCTCAAGTTGCAGTGGGGGAGGTTTAGGTTGGATATTAGGAAAAACTTTTTCACTAGGAGGGTGGTGAAACACTGGAATGCGTTGCCTAGGGAGGTGGTGGAATCTCCTTCCTTAGAAGTTTTTAAGGTCAGGCTTGACAAAGCCCTGGCTGGGATGATTTAATTGGGGATGGATCCTGCTTTGAGCAGGGGGTGGGACTAGATGACCTCCTGAGGTCCCTTCCAACCCTGATATTCTATGATTCTATGATTCTATGACTTGTCTCTCTCCGGGGCGGCGGGGAACCAGACTGCCTCACTACACACCTCTTCTTCAAAGACTCCATAAATGAGTGCAGGATCTGCAGTGTAAGATATGGGATAGATTCTGTGAGCTGCTCCTTTCTTTGTTCCCAAGTTTTTTTCCAGGAAGCTGAAGGGAACCTGTGATGGGTTTCACCCCCTGGGATGTCACCTGATGTGCTGGGACACCACTGAGTCAGACTATTCTGCCAGCATGGGCCCCCTTTCATCTGGTCTTGCTAGGTTAGGCTCCCCAGCCTTTTCCATCCAAGCACACAGGCAGGGCCATACCCAGCTGCACAGAGAGACAGAGATCCGCTCTTGAAAGGCTCAGCTTAAAGGGCTTGCCACAGCACCCAGATGTTCATCCTCCCTTGGAGTACAAAAATTATATGAAATTTGACTCTTCCTTCAGTGTGGAAGAGGGTATGCACAACTTCTTGCCCCCTGGTTAGAAATCACATAAACTGGGTTATATTATAAACCAGAAATAAATTTAGTAACTATTACAAGTGTATTTTAAGTAGTTAAGGAGGTAGCAGATAGAACAAGGCAGATTTCTAAGAAAATTAAAAAGAGCACACAAACTAAGCTTAATACACTAAAGAAACTGGTTACATATAAGCTTCTCATGGAAAAGTACAGAATTCAAGATGGGTTCCAGTATCAGGTGACATGGTCACATGCCTCTGTAGGGCTCCTGTAGCCATTCTTCACAGCTGACCCACACATTCACAGGAAGACTAAGCTCTTTTACAGTCCACTGTCTCTTGCTGATGGGCCATCAGCACTGTCCAGCTTTTTCATTGTTGTACCCTGAATGTGACGTTATGAGTGTAATATAATATCTCATTGAAAGGGGACACAGGGCCAGAAAGAGTTAATTAACTCCCAAACTAACCTGACCCATGGCCGAACTTTAAAGACTTGTTAGGAAGAGATGTAAATGAATAGAGCTTTGAAATGCAGCCTGCATTGTTAGAGATAGAAGAGTAGCTGTTTGCTCAGGTCTTGTGATGTGAGCAAACAAGTCTTGTCTATGGCTATAGCTTTGATTCAAAGATTTAAAAAAAAAGGAGTATTAGTATTTAGGAAGACACTTGAGTGAAACAGTATTATTGTCTATATGTCTCTTTGAAGGTTGTGGTAACCTGCAGCTGAACTATTTAATGGATAAATTATCCTGTGCTAATTGCCATGATGTTTGGGAGAAGTAAAGTTAAGCCTGTTGTTTTCTCAGGCAAAAGCTGCTGCAAATGTATAAAAACCCTGGGACACGATCCTTCTTCATCTCAGATCTGCTTTGGGTTTGAAGAAGGGGAAACCCTAAGCCACAAGAATTGAGATCCCCAGTCATTGACTGGAGTCACCTGAATATGGACATTGGACTATAACCTCTGGACTATTTCTAAAAGGACTTTTGGCAACTACAAGCTCATCTCTGCTATGGATCTGGACCTCAAGAATTGAATTCAAGTCTGTCTGGATATTGATCTTTTAACCAACACTCTCTCTCTTTTCTTTTTTTAATACATTTTAGTTTAGTTAATAAGAATTGATTGTAAGCGTGTATTTGGGGTAAGATCTAAGTTATTATTTTACCTGGGTCTGGGGCTTGGTCCTTTGGGGTCAGGAGAACCTTTTCTTTTATATGATGAAATAAGAGTTTCAGAATTTATCATCATACGTTTGACATGTGTGCCTGGATGGAGGCCTGAGGCTGGGCACTTTAAGGGAACTGCATTGTTTGGACTTCTGAGTAACCAGTGAGGTAATACAGAAGTTGTTTTGTGCTGGCTTGGCAAATCTAAGTACTGGAATATCCACCAGTGTTTGGGGTGTGTCTGCCCCGTTCTGTTTGCAGTTCACCCTAATTGAGTGACCTCAGCTGGCTCCCATAGGCAGCCTTATTACACTGAAGTGTTGGCAGGGGGTGTCACCCAAAGTAACATTGTTGAAATACAAAAACATAGTCAATATTCCTAATTTCAGATACAGAAATGATACATGCATACACATAGATAATCATATTCAGTAAATCATAACCTTTCCAATGATATCTCACATACGCCATCTTGCACACAGTATATCTCAGTTATGTCATATTCATAGCATAAACATATTTTCATAAAGAATATGGAATGCCATGTCACATCTCCCCTCTGAGATTACTGCCAGAGGGTTGGTCACTGATCAATGTATGCCTAAAATCCCTTTTTGGCTTTGGTTATACAACCTCCAAGTGTTACCAAACACTGTAATGCCATTCATAGGTGTTTTTGCAAAGTTCTGGATTTCTGTTCCCAGGTTGCCAGAAAACATTGTGATGTGTAGCATTGTGTACATAATGCAGATGTCAATGTCCTTTAATGTGTAGGTGTCTTGGCATTTAGCCACCAATGCTATGAGGTGGTGTGCCTCAGTTTCCCCTTTCACACAGCAGTTTAGATTGGTTACACTTTCTCTGCTGTGCCAAGCTCTTAGCCTGTTTACAGGTACCAGCTGACAGGTGGTACGCTCATAGGACCTTCTTGTTACTACTCCCAGTCTGTACCAAAGATTTTTCCAAAAATCATACGTCACACATTTTTAAAGTATTTACCACCAGTATCAAATTCTTTATCTTAACCCACAGAGTGTGTAGTAAGAGACATAAAGTTACCAGCAAATTCATGACAGAGAGGTGCTTCCAAGTATGATTATCATACCACGCCTTCTGTCTAAACCAGTGGTTCCCAAACTTGTTCTGCTGCTTGTGCAGGAAAGCCCCTGGCGGGCTGGGCCGGTTTGTTTACCTGCCGCGTCCGCAGGTTCGGCCGATTGCGGCTCCCAGTGGCCGCGGTTTGCTGCTCCAGGCCAGTGAGAGCTGCTGGAAGTGGCGGCCAGTATATCCCTTGGCCCGCACCGCTTCCAGCAGCTCCTATTGGCCTGGAGCAGCGAACCGCGGCCACTGGGAGCCGCAATCGGCCGAACCTGCGGACGCGGCAGGTAAACAAACCGGCCCGGCCCGCCAGGGGCTTTCCCTGCACAAGCGGCAGAACAAGTTTGGGAACCACTGGTCTAAACAGATCAGTCTGTTCAGCATTTATGGTATTTCTCATCCCCTCAGTAAAGGTTCTTACTTTGGGAAAGTCTTTGGGGTTTTGGCAAGAAAAGGGTGTAAGGAGACCTTGTATGTTACTGGTCCACCCCCTGTGAAGCTGCATTTCCTCTCCAGGGTTAAGGCCATGTGAAGAATCCACCCTCTTTCCTGAGATTCCTTTGTGTTGTTCACCACCATCACTCAGGGCTAGTCTACACTGGCAATGTTAAAGCTCTGCCACAGCGCTTGTGTGGCATGTGTGGTCACGGCAGAGTGCTGGGAGAGAGCTCTCCGAGCGCTCTAAAAAAACCACCTCCACGAGGGGCGTAGCTACCAGCGCTGGGAGCGTGGTTCCCAGCGCTGGTGCACTGTCTATATTGCCGCTTTACAGCGCTGAAACTTGCTTCGCTCAGGGGGGTGTTTTTTCAGTGTAGACAAGCCCTCAGTGCCTGATATTTAGTTGTTGGGAGGGCCATTGGTCATTATCTTTGAAAACTCATGGTGATTGGGGGAGGTCCCAGACGACTGCAAAAAGGCAAATATAGAGCCCATCTTTAAAAAAGGGAAGAAGGAGAACCCAGGGAACTACAGCCTCACCTCAATCCCTGGAAAAATCATGGAGCAGGTCCTCAAGGAAACCATTTTGAAGCACTTGGAGGAGAGGAAGGTGATCAGGAACAGTCAACATGGATTCACCAAGGGCAAGTCATACATGAGCAACCCAATTGCCTTCTATGATGAGATAGCTGGCTCTGTGGATATGGGGAAAGCGGTGGACGTGATATATCTTGACTTTAGCAAAGCTTTTGATACGGTCTCCCACAGTATTCTTGCCAGCAAGTTAAAAAAGTATGGATTGGATGATGGAGTATAATGTGGTTAGAAAGCTGGCTAGATCATTGGGCTCAATGGGTAGTGATCAACGGCTCCATGTCTAGTTGGCAGCCAGTATCAAGCGGTGTACCCCAGGGGTCGGTCCTTGGGCCAGTTTTGTTCAACATCTTTATTAATGATCTGGATGATGGGATGGATTGTACCCTCAGCAAGTTCGCAGATGACACTAAGCTGGGGGGACAGGTAGATATGCTGGATGGTAGGGATAGGGTCCAGAGAGACCTAGACAAATTGGAGGATTGGGCCAAAAAAAATCTGATGAGGTTCAACAAGGACAAGCGCAGAGTCCTGCACTTAGGACATAAGAAACTCATGCACCGCGACAGGGTGGGGACTGACTGGCTAAGCAGCAGTTCTGCAGAAAAGGACCTGGGGATTACAGTGGACGAGAAGCTGGATATGAGTCAGCAGTGTGCCCTTGTTGCCAAGAAGGCTAACGGCATATTGGGCTGCATTAGAAGGAGGACTGACAGCAGATGGAGAGAAGTGATTATTCCCCTCTATTTGGCACTGGTGAGGCCACATCCGGAGCATTTTGTCCAGTTTTAGGGTCCCCACTACAGAAAGGATGTGGACAGATTGGAGAGAGTCCAGCAGAGGACAACGAAAATGATCAGGGGCCTGGGACACATGACTACGAGGAGAGGCTGAGGGAACTGGGCTTGTTTAGTCTGCAGAAGAGAAGAATGACGGGGGATTTGATAGCAGCCTTCAACTACCTGAAGGAGGGTTCCAAAGAGGATGGAGCTGGGCTGTTCTCAGTGGTGGCAGATGACAGAACAAGGAGTAATGGTCTCAAGTTGCAGTGGGGGAGGTCTAGGTTGGATATTAGGAAACAGTATTTCACTAGGAGGGTGGTGAAGCACTGGTATGGGTTACCTAGGGAGGTGGTGGAATCTCCATCCTTGGTGGTTTTTAAGGTCTGGCTTGACAAAGCCCTGGCTGGGATGATTTAGTTGGGGATTGGTCCTGCTTTGAGCAGGGGGTGGGACTAGATGACCTCCTGAGGTCCCTTCCAACCCTAATATTCTATGAGGGGTTTACTTGCCCAGGAAGTGGCTGTCTCTGCCCCTTCATCAGGTGGATTATTAGCATGTTCACAGACACGAAAATGCTTGGAAGAAACACTCCCCGCCAACCCCGCTGCTGCTGCCGCTGCCTCCAAGAGACAGAGTTAGTTTTCACAAGTACAGCAAGTAAAACATTTTGAAAAAGTGGGGCCTGGATTGGGGTACCCTTGATCACCCTTCTCGCTGTTCCCAAAAGCTCAGCTGTATGGCTGCTCCCTTCAGGAAGGTCAGTTACACGGTTCTTTCTTAAAACCTGAGCCACAGGTGAGGTGCCTGGTATTACAGATGCAGATCCAGCAAATTTCTCCTGGGCAAACCCTTCCCTGTAATGAGTGGGGAAACACTCCTGTAGTCCCCCACATTCCTTCTTAACCTCTTTGTCTGGTCCCCCTGCCAGGGCACACACCCCTGTGGTCCCTGGAGGGCAATCTGTCCAGCTGTGAGCTCACAGCTACCAGCCATGACAGACCCTTCACTGGCCAGCCCTATACCCTCCTCTGTCTTTGAATTGGGTTGGCCTCCAGTCACAGAGCCCCTGGAATCCTCACCCTGTACCCTGCAGCACTTTCTTGGATCCCACCTTCCCCCTCTAAGGCTTCCCTTCCTCTAGGACACATTTCCTGATGCATCCTAGAGCAGGATCTATCCCTTGCTTAACTGCAACTTCCTGACAGCCAGCAACGTGAACAGTCTCTCTACTGTCAGCCAAAACGTTCCCCTCCTGAGGGAACAGCCACAGGACAGGAGCTGGTTCCACCCACCCCCACCCCTTGTGACAAATCTATCTCTTGTTCATCCTTTCCTTTTCTTCTGCTTGCATCCTGTGCAGCTCCAACTTTTTGATAACTTCACTTTCACTCGTTTTCCTCCTTTTCTGTCCCTACTTCTCTTTCCCAAAATAAACAGAAAATAACAAACCAGTAACCACCTTGTCTGTTCTCTAGCCACCACACTTAAAACTCTCTTAAAATCATCACTGGTGTTTCAGGCAGGGCCGTCCTTACCCATACGCAAAGTACGCAGCTGCGTAGGTTCCGGGCACAGCTGCATGCTGCGTGCTGATGCAGTCCCTGCTCCGGCTCTTCCCCTGGGCCCCCGCCCCTGCTCTGCCCCCGCCCTGCCTCTTCCCCACCTCCACTCCCCTGAGCTCTGCAGCAGGGTCGGGCCTGCCCTCACTGGCGGCGGGAAGCGCAGCCACCTGGCCACAGCTGGGCCACCAGTGAGTGCTGGAGGGTGGTTCCCCCTCCTGCCCCCCAAGCCAGCTCTCTCCCTCTCAAAGTGGAGGCCTGCCTCCCCTCCCCCTCCCACAGAAGCCTGGGGCCAGCCCCCCCCCACTCGCCAGCCCCCCCGCTCCCCACCCCGCAGAGGCCTCGGTCCCTCCATCCCCGCGGGGGCGCTGCATAGGGCCCCAGAATAGCTAGGGATGGCCCTGGTTTCAGGGCAATAAGCTGTGCATAGGATCCTGCTCGACTACACAACTGTGATAGGTTGGACCCAGGCTGGTAGAATAGTCTGACTCAGTGGCGTCTCAGCACACCAGGTGACATCCTAGGGTGTCCAACCCATCACAGAACCTTCCCCAGGACATTACACCAAAAAAGGGAGGAGGTGTTGCCTTGTATATCAAATATGTGTACACTTGGACTGAGGTTGAGATGAA